TCTACTGGACAACAACGAGCTTCTGGGTAGCATATCTCCTGAAATTCATGAGCTCACAATGCTTTCTGAAGCTCAAGTAGATGAGAATAAGCTATCTAATGCTGTGCAAAGATTATCTTGCAACAAAAGGTCCGTCTCATGGTACATGTGTGCAGTCAATTTGATATAACTTTTCTATTTTTTAATCTAGTTATTCAATAAGGTAAGGCATAAGAAAGTGTAAATCTTGTATTTTGTTTAGTGGTTAAATGCAGTGGGTTTCGCATGCTATATCTTTGTTGTGGTTCATGGAGTCATGAGTTTATCTTGTGCACACATCAGCAGGGCTTTACGGTCTTTTCATATCCTCCAACCTAATAGAGAACTTGCTACTCCTACAACCGGGCTCTTTGCCTGGGTGGTATGATCTCCACCTCCCAAGAGGGAGGTTGAGGTTCAAGCTCCAAGTGGGGGAAAATAGGTGTTAATAAAAAAGGGTCAATCTTCATAAACTTCATTGTAAATGAGAAATACAAATAAATATGCGGAACATGAGCAACGCTGGTCGTTCATCTACTTGGCTTATCAAGCATGAGCTAGTTCAAAGATTTTTGGGTTTCGATTGCAAAGGAAAAGAGAAAATTGCTTCTGATTGACATTAATATACAACATTTATTACAAGCCATGATGGCTTGTTGCTTTCTGGTCAGCTTCATGACAGATGCTTTTATATTTTTCCAGGAACATTGATGAAACTCGAGATGTAGCTCAACGGAGATTGCTATTGGTGGCAGATCATTCACCAAAGAATCTTAAAACGGTCTTGCCAGAAGTAGATTCCTCATCACCTTCCTCTGCCCCTTCCCCTTCCCCTTCCCCATCTCCTGCAACCACACCCTCTCTAGCAAAAAGTCCAAAAAACCATCATGTTCTAATATACTCTTTAGCCATAGGGGGTTCGGCATTGTTTCTCATTTTGGTCATTGGCATATTATATTGTCGAGGCAATAAGGTGGCTGTTGTCAGACCTTGGGCCACAGGATTAAGTGGGCAGCTGCAGAAAGCATTTGTAACTGGTACGTTTTCATTCCCACAGGGACAAATCACAGTTGCATTTTTTTTTTTAATTCTGATTTCTGAAGATGCTCAGAAGGATAGTGGCCTCTCTTTAAATGTTGGCTCCTAGGAATGCTACTGGGCTATTATTTAGAGTTGGAATCTCTGTTCTCTCATATTAAAGCAGTTATCTAGTTAAACACGTATTTGATTGTCTTTTAATAAAAACAGATAATTTCCTAAGCATTAATTTATTTGGTTTATCAAGGGAAGTATTTCTTATGCTGCATCTTGTACTGTTATTTTACTCCCGGAAACGTTATCCTTGGGCAAGATTTTTGGGAACATTTAATTGGCTTACTATTTTCCCCAATCATCTTTATTGGAGATTCTGTGGATGGATAATCCTTGAATATATATTTATATATATATATATTTATATGTTTGTGTGTAAATATATTTTATATTTACTCTTTTTTTTTTCCCTAGTTGGTACTCACACACACATGCCTCACCGAGGTTCGAACCCCTTACCTCCTTTGGGAAGTAGGGGTTTGGTACCACTAGGCCACTAGCTCGTTGGTTATATAATATATATATATATATATATATATATATATATATTATATTTACTACATGATAATCCTTGCTTACATGCATATGAATCAGCTTATATAGCAGGCAGTACTTCCCCTATGTCCCTGTTGAAATTATATGTTTAAGAATAAGATTTATATGTTAAATCTTGTGCTTCTGTGTTGTGGCTGCATATCTCAGGCGTGCCAAAGCTCAAGAGATCAGAGCTTGAGACAGCTGTGAAGATTTCAGCAACATAATTTCTTCTTCACAATTGGAAAAGTATACAAAGGAACATTGTCCAGTGGGTTGAAATATCCGTGGTATCTGTTGCAGTTACATCTTCCAAGGATTGGTTTAAGAATCTGGAATTTCAGTTCAGGAATAAGGTAGTTTGACAAATTAATTGAACTAAGTTTTGTGTTGTTTCAATTCACTCGAGCTATCCTGAATGTTCCGTTCTGTAATGGTTTCAGATCGACACATATACAAAATGAACCACAAGAAATTTTGTGAATCTTCTTGGGTATTGCGAGGAAGAGGAGCCATTCACTAGAATGATGGTTTTCGAATATGCTCCAAATGGGACCCTCTTTGAGCATTTACACAGTAAGTATCTAACTCTATATTTCAGTTTATGTGGAAACAGATTTTTACTCCGGTCAATATTTTTAGGTTTAGCTGTGAACACAGACTAATAATAATCTGGAAAGAAATAGTGCATGTGTTCTGGAAGGTATTACATTTTTTTATTACTGAACATTTGGCATGGCTCACCTTTTAATGCTTCTAAGGAGACCTCAAATTAATTTGATGTTAGAAGTGTGTAAAACCATGTAATATGTTTTTCAGTGTCAGGTATCATCAGAATTTTAATGAACTTATATAAAATATTTTTGTCTATACTTGTCAAAAAATTAGAAGTAAGAATAGAAAATACGTTGAAACAACATATATCTGTATTAAATATTTGACTTGGGCCAATCATATAAGTCTCTTTTATATTGGGGAGATATTTCATTATTTAACTTCCCACTATACTAAAGTTGAGGTTGGACTGGTTCATATCACTACCAAAATGACTTAGTCTGCATTGGCTGCCTGGGTGGTTGTGATCTTTCTCGTAAAAGAAATTATTTAGTGAAATTCTTTTTATTAAGAATGTTTTAGTGAGATCCTTCTATATAAAATATTTTTATTGATTTTTGAGATAAAAAAAGGAAATATGTTGAAACAGCATAAACTTAATTCAATATTAAACAAAATGACTCGGTCTAGTTCATATAAAGCTCTTTTATATAAAAAGAAATATTTCAGTATTAAACACCCCACTTGCTAAAAAATTGAGGGTTTATTAGTTCATGTCATAGTTATCACTGTCAAATAACTTGGTCTGAATTGGCTGTCTGAGGCGTTGTGATCTTCCTCAAAAAAGTAATGAAAGAAGAAACTTAATTTGAAGATTAGACTTAAATCATTGAGATATATTTTGACTTGGTCTCTGTTATTGTTTGTGGACATAAATCTTTGGTGCTGAAGTATGACCCAGAATTTTTTTATATGCATGTGACACTCTGATAAGGTCATGTAAGAACCATGAACTGTATGCGGGAATATTATTTCCTTTTGTATTGACCTCTAGCGTTGTAGGAAAATGAGATCTTTAACCCTGGTTTTATCCTGCAGTAAAAGAATCAGAACATTTGGACTGGGTGATGCGGATGAGGATTGCAATGGGGATGGCCTACTGCCTCGAGTACATGCACCAATTGACGCCACCAATGACACACAAAAACCTCAACTCTACGGCTGTCCATCTCACTGAAGACTATGCTGCCAAAATCTCAGATTTTTGTTTCTGGACTGAGGCAGCAGCTACTGAGATGGAACTGCATCCGTCAAGTAACGTCTACAGCTTTGGTGTAATATTGTTCGAAATGGTAACAGGCAGGCTCCCTTACTCGGTGGATTGTAATAGTAGTTCGCTTGAGGACTGGGCATCTGACTATTTGAGGGGAGAACAGCCCCTTAAAGAAATAGCAGATCCGACTCTAAAATCTTTCGAAGGAGATCAGCTCGAAAAACTTTGTGAAGTGATTAAATCTTGTGTTCACCCTGACAAAAACCGGAGACCGGACATGAAAGAAGTTACTGCAAGGTTGAGAGAGATAACGGCAATAGGACCGGATGGAGCAATCCCAAAACTCTCCCCTCTTTGGTGGGCTGAGCTTGAGATTCTGTCAACAGAAGCAAACTAATAGGTGAAGTTGAAACTTGTAATTATAAGCCTGCTTTTTTTTCTTCCTTGGTGAGGCAAAAGTAAATTTTACTCGCAGGTTGATACAGCTTGTATCTAGCTTAGAAACATGATATCTGTACATGGGCCGAGATAGGGAAAAAGCTGGTTAAGTCCTGTTTCTTTTGGTTTGATGTTTAGAATTTGGCTATGTAGAATAAAAGCAAATTATATATATATATATATATATATGAAACTATGGGACTATGGGAGTATGGAAGTTACATATTTGTATAATTTTTTCATTGTACTACATTCTTTAATTTCCATATTGAATGAAAATGCATCGAAATTTAAGGAGCACAAAAAATAGTTGTGTTCTTTAATTTCCATATGCAATGAAATTGCTTGGGAAAGATAGAATTTATATTTGTTTAAAATGTATTCTCTCATTATATATACTAATACAAAGTAAATTGGTAAATAATTGAAGTAAAAATGATATTTTACATTTATGCACCATTTTTTCTTTCTTTTTACTCCACCTCCCTTTTGGTCTAATATGTGGGTAGGATGTGCCTCGTCATTCCTTTCCTTCGAACCAAACAAGGCATGAGTGTTGTGACTTAAAAGATGATACCCTTACTTTTATTTTTATTTTTATTTTTTAATTTTTTTAAACCCAAGAGATTGAATGATGATGATACCTTCTCCGGGGGCCAAATCCAGCCCTGTTTAGAGGATATAAATAAATTACAACTACATTGTTTCTTGATATATATATATATATATATATATATATTCAAAACAAGCAGGACAATTACAACCCACCACACCCCCACCCACCTAAAAACAAAAAATAAATCAATAAAAACAAAGGCCCTAAAAAAAATAAAAATCATTACTTACTAATCATAGAAAATTAATATCTATAAATGTTGCTCCTACCTCAAAGAAATTAATAAAATTTTCGAAATCAAGTTCAGATTCATTTATCAATTTGTAACTATAAAATCTCTAAATAATTAAATATTTCAACTACAGTAAATATAAAACAAAACTTAAAAAAAGAAAACAAAACTTACGTACACCAAACACAGGTGGAAAAAGGAAAGTGGTCTTACTGGTCTGTTACGATTATACGGTACTATCTTTGTAAGAATCCCATCTTCTCCCCCTCTCTCCAGGTCCTTTACCCAGTTCCCCTTGCTTCCGACTTCAGTTATTACTCTCTCTCTATAAATATCTATATATATATATATATATATATCGGATATATATCGGATTACTCTCTCTCCCTATATATATATATAGGATTATATAATAGCCATGGCTGTCTCAGTCGAAGAACAGCAGAAGGACCCGATCTTGGAGCCCCCAATTATTGACGAAGAACCCTCAGATGATGACGACGAAGACGAAGACGATGACGATGATGATGAAGATTTCGATGAAGAGGAGGAAGAAGAAGAAGAAAATCTGACAGAAGAATCGAGAATGCGGTCGGAGAGAGCTAAAATGGAGAACCTATTCATTTCTATATCAAGGAAGAGAGTTCCTCTGAGAGTCCACCGTGTGTTGATCAAGGGCAGCACTAAGACCAATGACTCATTGATCGAAGCTGAAATTGAACAACTCAGGCACGCCACCACAATGCAAGACCTTCTTCGTGCTGCCACTACTGCAAATGCTCGCCTTCAAAGCCTCGAAATCTTCGATTCCGTCAACATTACGCTCGATTCGGGGCCGCCTGAGCTGCCGGCGACCGCCAATGTCATCGTAGAGGTTGTCGAGACCAAAAAACCCCTCACCGGTGAAATTGGCTTCTTCTCGAAACCTGAGGTGATTCTCTCACTTCTATATATATACATAATAAGCTAATGTTTATTGCTTAGTGATGAATGAATTGGAATTTGGAATTGGATGATAAATTTTTACTGTTGAGCGAATGAACTCTAAATTGGGCCTTTTTTTTTCAGTTTTTTATTGTTATTATCAAGTTGTTAGAGGATTAGATTCAATGATCCTGATGATATGTGGTATTAAGGCTTAGAAATTGTAGGAAATTGTTTTGAATCTGCAACAGGGAAATTGTCATTTAGTGTTGAATGAACTTGTGTGGACAAATTTTTGGACCAGACACCATTGACCAATGGCAGTATGCCTGACTCTAAGGCACATGACAGGCACTGGCACAGATCACCATTTTTTGGTCTACACAACTGTGTGACTTTTTCCTAGTCATTTTCCCTCCGTTAGCAGTTATCACATATCAGTGCTGAGGAAGAAGGATATTCCTTCATGACTAAACCTTGTGTTTGGGCACACAACATATGAAGTAGGGATCTGAATCACTGATTTTGTGACATTTCGTAAATAATTCAAGTGCTTGCTATGACTTAGAGAGATGATAGTGCATCCAATGCAGTAGTGGAAGGTACCTTCTAGTCATCATACACCTAACAGGGTGGTTCCATTTGATTTCGGAGCATCTCATTCCTTCGTATTATCGTCATTTGTTGCATCATTGGTTTGCTACCTGGGTTGTTGAGGGATCCTTTCATGTTCAAGAATCTGTCAGCTGATTTACAACATTGACAGAGCATGCGTAGTGAGAGTTGGTGAGGCTGATAAGCCAACCAACTTGATAGTTATCGAGACGAGGGAGTGCGATGTCATCTTAGGTATGGATTGGCATGCAACCTACCATTTCAAGGTGGAATGTTATGGTAAGATAGCGGCATTTCACATTCTTGATGGACCCTTGATCAAATAAAGGCATTCAAGATGGATTTTCTCTTGTCAGGTTTCTTTAGTTTATTGATGGTGGAGTAAACGCATATGGTAAAGCAGGTTCCTCTGTCAGTGAGTATGTCAATGTAATTCAGGAACTACTTGGGTTTCTCATTCACCCAATTGAGAGAGAGATTTCACAGGGACTTGATGCCATGAGTCCCTTTGTCAATGGGTTTTCAATGTATTATAGAACTGGGTTGTCATTCAGGAGGGCGTTAAACTTTTGTAGCAGGAACTACTCCAATTTCCTTATCGTCGTATCATATGCCTCTTGCGGAGTTGAGGGTGTTAAAGGAGCAACTGGAGTGCCTGTTGGAATGTGGTTTCTGAGACTGAGTTTGTCTCTGAAGCAGCAACGAAAAGGAAGCTTCGATGCGGTTTTGTTGATTATAGGCAGCTGAATGTAGTTAAAGTAAATAAGGATCCTCTGCCTGGTACTCATGATCTATTTGACCGACTGAGAGATTCTGGAGACTTTTCTAAGATTGACTTAAAGTTGGGTTATCATCAAGCGAGTATTCAGGAAGAGGACCTACCAAGTGAGTATTAGGGAAGAGGACCCTATGCAAAATAAAGTGGGTCTGATGTCTTAAAAACATTGGATTAAGGTAGTTTAAATTTATGGTGAATTTTTGTGAAAACTTTGAATAATGGAAATCTATTTTGATCAAATTCTCACAAATGAGTCTTTATAACTTCAATTGATCGATTTAACATGTGTTTCCAACATGTTGGATGGGGTTAGGATGAGTTAATTTCATATGGTTGGGCGAACCATGCACTGATTTGAGAAAAAAACTCGAATAGGCATTAATGGAGGATTATAAAATTTCCAGTGAGATTCTGGCTAATCCATGCTATGATTTCACACCATTGTCTTCTACTTTTAATGAATATATGTGAACAATTCCTACAGTTTGGGTTTGAAATTAGAATTTATTAGTAATGAATTAAAGGATAGCCGGTGGAAATTTCAGTATTCAAATGTATAGACTGATTGCAGCTCTGAGGATGAAGACCTAGCCATGTCCAGTGTCCAGCAGAACCCCGTCTGCATGCCTGGAGAGTGTGGGCATTTGAGGGTTGTGGCGGTCTGGTTGGGTCTACTTGAAACCGTGTGCCAAGTCTGCCCTGATGGATTGGTTTCAGTTCAATCCAACCCCGTTGACCGGGGATTGACCTTTCCTCATTTTGTGTGCCTCGCATATTTCAAGAGAAATTCCTTTGCTGAATTAATTGGGAGTGTAGTAGATAAATTGAATGTTGATCTTATACCTTCTATGTAAGTAATATATACATGTATATATAGCGAATACTTATGTATAGAATTATTATCCGAGAACAGCCACTTTGTGCAAAATGAAAATAATGCCAAAAGTTAGGTCTATCTTAGTCCATCCCTCCCAGCACTCTCTATTAATGGGGACCAGACAGGTCATGACTCTATATTTATAGACATTACTAATTATAGGTTTTGGGTGTTAATTCAATAATTAGAAAATGTAGAATTGACTTACCCTCCTATAAAATAGTAATATCACTTTTGTTTGGTTGTTCTTTGGTTTTCAATTTACAAAATTATCTGACTAGCCGCCCACAATATATATATATATATATACTTTCCCTGTTCAATTAAAATTAGTGGTTTTCATTCAACGGATATTACGATTTTGATTCTTAATTACCATATTTATAATCGATGAAAGCATGGATTAATGTTAATGGACTGGTTTTGTTTGTAAATTGATAAATTTGTGGGCCAGTTATATTAATAAAATGACAAATGCATGCATGGACTGATGGATGTACAATGAATATGGGTCTTGAGAGAATCAGTAACATTAGTCTAATACATGGTAATGCTTGGCAAGTAAATTAGGAAATTGGTTATGGGGAAACTTTTAATCATTTTGACTACAGTGCATGAGATACCAAGATTGGTTATAGGTTATGAGAGTATCCTTAGGGTTTTGTTCCCTAAGGAAAATAGTTTCGACAGTCGAGACCTGTGAGTTGAAAGACCCCAGAACCATGACGGCGATATGGAAATATCTTGCTATTATGATCCTAGCTGTTTGGGCTTACAAAGTGGGATCTTTAGGATCCCACTGAGCTTTCCAGTTTGTTTCAGGCTGGGTCTCTCTAATTTGAGATTGATAATCCAAACAAAATTACAACAGTATAATTGCTTTTGTATAAATCCTTCTAGTGACAACTCTAGGTTGAGTCTCAATGTACTAAAGTTGCACCAACCCTTTTGGTGACAAATTCACGTTGGGTTTCAAAAACACATTCTATTAACATAATATGAAATTATTTAGTTGTACATTTTCATAGATTATTGCCTCTAATTGTTTGGTTGTGCTTGTGCATGCTTTCTTGTTGTCTGTTGTGTGTTCATGTATTCACATAATTAATTTTTAGCACAATATCATTCATTTCACATGCATTACATTATGGGCCTTGGGTATAGGGTGGACCAATTAGTTAATAAACTAGCATTGTAGATTATTAAGTGTGTGTATTTACTTTCTAAAATGTCGAGTTCTATTTCGTTTATTAATTGAAGTTTTCAGGAAAATGGAGGGACAGTTTAGATGGTACACCATTAGATGATTGAGGATTTATTTATTACTTATTTTATTTACGATAGAGTATTTGAGCAACTTGTTTTGGAACTGTAACCTTGTCATCTTAAGAAAACTGATTGTAATTAGGGCATTTGGGAATCTTTTTTTTATCCTTAACTTGTGGTTGGTATTTAATTTTGTTGTAGTTGCTAACTGTGATAAATGATATGGATGTTTATTTAGTCCATATCATACGGGAACTAGTGTTAGCATTAATATTAAGAGCATGTCTCAAAGTTCATGCACATTTAATGGGTGGCCTGTGAATTCTGGGTTGTGAAATTATGGACTGCATCACCTAACAATTAACAATTCATCAATTTTTTTTTATCCTTTAATTTTTAAAGGGTTAATTTCATTGACACCCCCTCAGGTTTGGCCAAATATCACATTGAAACACCTTTCAAAAATTACTATCACTTAGGTCCAATTTTACTTTTTCGTCACTGACACTGTTAAAATTGTTTGAAAAGGCAATTTTACCCCTAATTTTTTAATACCATTTATTTCAAAATATCATCCAACTAAAATAGCTATTTTATCCCCCTCATTCATTACTCTCACCTACCCCACTCCTCTCTCTTCCCTTTCTCTCTCTTCTACTGAATGGACCATGTTAGTTTTGTTTTTTTTCCATCTCTTTCTTCTCTATCATACACACAAACATATACCTACACACAGACAACCATAGCCGCGGCACCACCAACACCCCATCACCGCCGACCACCAACTACCACTCTCTTTATACACTTAATTCTCTCCTCTGCAACACTCAAAAAACCACCAGTTTGTTGTGAGCTCTTCCATAAATCACAATCTTATATAAATTAATTTCATGGTAACGGAACAGTCATAGTCCCAAACCATAATTCAAAAATTAAAAACTTGGCACTAAGTTGAAGTTTGGCCTGGTAGAGTTGGATTGTAACAGAATAATTAATTATTTTTTCTTTGTAACTAATTATTTTTTCTTTGTAACGATAATTGCTTCCACGTAGCTGGTGCCAGCTACAAAATTGCTTCCTCGTAGCTGAACTGCTGCTGGATAAGTAGCAAAGCCTTGGGATAGTATGTGACTATCCTTGATGAGGCACATCTGCTTCATCGTCATTGTCATCCTCCTCCTTTGCAATGAGTACAATCAACTAGAGAATCAATTTCCATAAGAATATGCTTAAATTGTAATTGTGAGCCGATTTAATGCCTTCCTAAATAACTCTTTTTTTTTTTTTTTTTTTTTTTTTTGATAAGTAAAATATATTAGAAAACGTTCAAGAGGGGAACACATCCCAAGAGCTGTACAAGAACCAAGAACAAAGAAAAAAAGAAAGCCTAAGGATCCAAAGATCCCAAAAAGTCCAAAAGCTCCTCAACAGAGGAACAATCTCTCCCCATACCCCAACTAAAAAGAGAACAAATAATAGAATACTTAAGAGCCCCAATGGATAACTCCTCCCCAACAAAGGATCTTTTATTGCGTTCTTTCCAGAGACACCACCAAATGCAAAGGGGAGTCACCCTCCAGAAATCGCGAACTTGAGCCCCCACCCTTTGTCCCCTCCAGATATCAATAAGATCCCGTGAAGTCCGAGGCATAACCCATTGAACGCCAAAAAGACCCAACATAAGACTCCAACAGTCATGGGCCACTGGGCAGTGCAAGAGAAGGTGATCCACAGACTCTCCATCGGTCTTACATAGACAACACCGATTAACAATGACATGTCTCCTCTTCCACAAATTGAACCAACTGCAATTTATTGCCCGAATCTGCAATGAAATGTTCATCCCTGCCTCTAGGGAACACTTCTATTGCCTGCTTGTCCTGGGTTTCCACTTGGTGCTCCATCAATAATGATTGCCATTACTATTAATTTGCAGTGTATTTGATGAACATGTGCCCAAAGAAAAGATTGTTGCATATACAGATAATATGTATGTACGTGTGTGTGTGTGTATATATATATATATATAAATCTTTCAAATTTATCCTTCCCATTTTCTATGGTTCTCTATTTCTTGTTTATATATATAAATCTTTCAAATGTATCGTTCCCATTTTCTATGGTTCTCTATTTCTTGAGGTTTTTCTTCCTGTATGTCAATTAAAAAGATTCATACACCATCCCATACCTCTTTTATGAATCATTCCCTTTTGACTTCAATATAAGATGTTTTAAAATTACAGCAAGAAGAATTGTCTTTGAAACGTTCAATTACAAAAAATGTGAAAACATAATTTAATTTTTTACTAGGATTTAAGTAAGCTAGAACATGTGGTCATGTGCCCAAAATATATATATATAGAATAATTTTAAATTCACACAATCAAAATAAAAGGATATCCAAGTCATTTCCACTATTTTTCTAAGTCAACATAGAGTCAAAGGGTTAACAATGTCTTCTTACAAGTAAAAAGTGGTCTGACACATCTGAAAAGTAACTTTTGGGGTGTGAGTGAAAAACGGACCAAATGTTTGTAATGTGAGTGATAGTAATTTTCGAAAGGTGTTTCAATGTGATATTTGGCTAAACCTGAGGGGGTGTCAATAAAATTAACCCATTTTTAAATTGGCTTCAGGAGAGCAGCTCAATTTGCTCTGTGATCTGAATATGCTCTTTTTTGCTCATTTTGGTTATAGAATTGCATAAATGTCACCATATTGGCTCTTGTGGTTTTATCATGAACTATTTTTGTAGGCTAGATCTTGGTCACTTGAAGGATCACTCAAGCTGAAAAACTTTTTTGGACTCGGGGACCTTTGGGATGGTTCTTTGGCTTGCTCCTGGGATCAAACATCAGAGGTTAGTGCTGGTGTGTCTTTGCCCAGATTCAAAGGACTGTTAACTCCTATGGCAGCTCGGGTGTCTCTGCTTACCCAAGATTGGTTAAAGTTTTCTTCTTACAAAGAGCGATCCTTGGGCCTCTCTATTGGCCTAATATCATCAAGCAACCATGACTTAGCATATAATCTATCTTGGTGTACCTTAACAGATCCATCACAAATGTCATCCAGGTCAATAAGGAGGCAGCTTGGACATGGTTTACTCTCATCTCTGAAATACACATGTAAGATTGACAGGAGAAATTCACCTTCGAGACCGACTCAAGGATATGCTTTTGTTTGTACTTCTAAAATTGGTGGTCTTGTACCAGATTATCGGAGCTTACGTTTTTTCCGCCAGGTTTAGTAACATTTTTTGTGCCTGTTCTGTTGATTTCCTCTATTCTCATTGAATTATATTCTCCCAAGCTATTTTTGTATTTCTTTATTCCACTTAAGCTGTAATGTCATCATCTTATATGGTGCGATGACATATGTTAAATATGTCTTGGTTTTCCTTTGACTTGAAACCTTCTGCATAAATTTACTTGTTAGTCCCTTTAAAGTCTGTTATTTTATATTTTACTATAAAAGGGGTGAAGAATATAATATTTAATTTTGTTGGTTTGTGGTATTCTAATTTTTTTTTTTTTTTGGCGGGGGTGGAGTCCTGACCAAATGGGTCCCTAGTTTGTGGTCCTTTTAATTGTTCTATTGTATATGTTTCTAAGGTTCATCATCATCATCCTTACCTTTTTCCCAAGTGAATGGGGTTTGCATGTTTATGAGGTTCTTGTTTTGATCCCTAATCTATAGGACTTTGTGTTTCGATCTCTGATAGGAAGTTAAGATTCACATTTTCCAATATTAGCTTGTAAGTTATGGTGATGACCTACTCTGCGAATTCTCGACTTGTCTAGGCTGTCTTTAGAAATAATATAAAAAAATGCTTGTATTCTTTTGTTTTGATTATAGTTGGTTGTTTTATTATCATGGTAATATAACTTTTTGTGTGTGTGTTTTCCAAGTGATCAACAAAAAATAAACTTGTGACCCTTCCCCATTAGTGATGTGTTTACTGTGCTATGAGTTATGATGACAATCATAACCTTATCATATTTTTGCCCCTCTATGTATCTGATGCTGAACCAATCTCATTTTTTATTTGAATATTGGGTTCCACAACAGGAGTTTGATCTTCGCTATGCTTTCCCCTTGGGTTTTTATCATGCTGCATTGAACTTCGGTATCTCTGGTGGGGTGATTTTTCCATGGGGAAGTGGATTTTTTAACATGCCCTCATACATTCGTGAGAGATTCTTCTTGGGTGGCAATTCTTCTCCCATTTGCACCTTGGGAGGCCCAAAGACATTGTTGGGTTTTAAGTCAAGGGGAGTGGGCGCTAGTGATCTACAAAGGCAAATTAGAGATAATTCCAATGATGAAAGTTCTGACACTCCTGGAAGGGATTTTTTTGGTGGCGACCTTGCTCTTACTTCCTTCATGGACCTCTCTTTCGATCTTCCTTCGAGGGTATTAAGAGAAGCTGGTATCCACGGACATGTTTTTGCTTGTGCTGGGAACCTTACTAAACTAACAGAAAATGCATTCAAAGATTTTTCTTTTCAGAAATTCCAGGAGTCTTTCCGAAGCTCTGCAGGATTTGGGATTGTTGTACCCACCAAACTATTTCGCATGGAGGTGAGTTATTTGTCCTGAAACTTTATATAACAAGTCTTCAAACTCAAGAAAGTGGGGAGGCCGTTAAATATTCATAATATTCCAGGAGTCTTTTCAGAAATTCTTTTCCTACGTTAATTTGGTGTTTTTATGTAATACAGCACGATTGTATTTTTTCTTTGTGGGTGTGTTGGGGGTGTTAATATTGTTCTTGCTGGCAGTGTACTTTTGGAAAGTTGTTAATTGGACAAGTTCTTATATGAGATCCGTAAGAACTGTATGTGCCTTGCATGAGTGCCACCTTCATGACAGTTCCCTGAAATTTAATTTCTTCCTGATTCTTTTTTGATAATATTTTCTAACTAGACCAATCACAGAACCTCACTCACATCTTGATTTTGTTATCAATCAGGTTAATTACTGTTACATTCTGAAACAACTCGAGCATGACCGTGGGAAGACTGGTGTGCAGTTCAGCTTCTCTTCACCATAGTAAATTCTGGAGTCAATTCAATCCTTGTTTGATGCTGAGTACGAAAACTTTCAATGCTGAGCAACATTCAGTTAATGCAGGAAGCCCGTCACTAGCCAGTTTTTCGTAATTCCAAATCCTGGGTAGGTTTTGTGATGTGCAACACAGGTGTAACATATTATTGAAGGCATCTGTACAGTCATAATTTTCTCTGCACCAGATAAGCATAGCCTACGCCAAAGGATCTGACTCTGTCTTGTTTCTCTTTTGGTGTTGCCAGGCAACATACGCCCAGATTTTTATGTTTTTAGGAAAAAATTGTATTGTGGGATTATATTTTGCACTCTGTATTGACATACCACTTTTCCCAATTCTCTTGAATTTTAAGAAATGAAATAAAAAGGCTTATCCTCGCTTACCTTTAATGGTGTGTGTAACGACCCTCACCCTGGCCAGACACAATATTGTCCGCTTTTGGCTCACCCAGACCAGAGACTTCCCAGGGGGTCACCCATCCTGGTACTACTCCAAGTTAAGCACGCTTAACTACAGAATTCTGATGGGTTCACGGCTTAACTACAGAATTCTGATGGGTTCACGGCCATCACGGCTTTAAAACGCGTTGTGTCATAGAAGGGTGACGGCCATTACGGCTTTAAAACGCATTGTGTCATAGAAGGGTGTTGAATCTACATATAGTACTTACCCCATCCACACCCAGACGATGTGGGATTGTACATCTGTAGCTCGCCCAATGTGGTAGCCTACTGGTACCCTCTGCACACGCTCACACACACCCGCCCACAAAGTCGCCACAGTGTGTCAATGTTGAAATTGAATGGCTATGTTTATATGCTATTTGATGTGTAATTTTTGTGGAGAGATATCAAATGGCATGGGAATATCATCAGAACACTAATAACCTAAACTTGTGTAGCAGTGGGCGGTAGGGTTGAACGCCCCAGCTGAGCACCTTCACAACCTTGGACCAAAGGTTGCCTTGTTGATTTTCTGGCAAATACTGCTTGCAGAAACTATTTTCAGATAAATAATTGAATGTCTAAGCAATATCTTGGTTGATTGAATAAAAGGAGATAATTACCGAAACCCTATCTGTCAAAGATGAACACATTGGCATATATATGACAAGAGTGACAAATGAACACAATATTCATTTATGTAATTTCCACAAATATACACTGCACTTTACAACTTACAATCAGCTCTGTTATCCAACAGGATTGCGAGCTTGAGAGCAGCATCTATTGAGCAACCTAAGTAGAGCATCGGCTTTTCTACAAGCTTTCAAGGAGCCATCAGCAGCCAAGCTTTGCAGAGAAGGGATACTCCGCGGATTCATCAGCAACCGTCTTGCAACCTCCTCTCCACCATCTTTGCACAGCCCCAACAGAAGAGTAATCGAATTTTCTTTCCCCTTGGGAGATCCAAATCTCAAGAGATCAATAAGAAGAGGCACCAACACCCTGCTCTTTCTTATCTCCTCCAGTCCTTCAGAGGACCCCAAAAGCAGAGCAAGCAATGCCAAGGCATCATCTGTTATTCCTGCCCTGTCATCCATCAACTGCTCTATGAGCAACGGTACTGCCCCAGCAGTAACAACACTTGCCTTATTCATGTTATAAATTGCAAGGTTAAAAAGTGCTGTTGCAGCATCTCTTTTCCCGGCTGTCGTGCCTTCTACTAGTAGCCCTACCAAGGCCGGTATGGCCCTGGGACTCGCACCAATGATCACCTTGTAATCATCTATCATAGACAAGCTGTAGATTGCAGCTGCTGCATTTTCTCTTGCCTCCATTGTTTTCCCTGATTGTAGAACATTTATTATGTTGTCAATTGCTCTGGCTGACATTATTAGTACCTTGTTGTTCTCCAAGATTGAGAGGTTAAGAAGTGCAGTGACTGCATTTTCTTGAATTCTTGGATCCGGGGAACAAAGTAATGTCACCAGAAAAGGAATGGCTCCTGCCTCGGCTATTAACCTGCGATTATCCATGCCAGTTTTTGCTAGTAACCGGAGCTCATATGCTGCCTGTCTCTGGATAACTGGTGAACCGGTTGCTAGTTTCCCCACTAGGAATTCTGCTGTCATTTTGACTGCATCCGAGGCAGTTTTTGTGGCGGAAATGTGATCAATCACTTTCTCACATAACTTTCTCTTGCTGCTGCTTCTCCCCATATCCGAAGAAGATGATAATACAGATTCAGTTACTGGAATGTTGTTCTCCTCACACCATTGTTGGGTTAAACTCTTGAGTGCATAGTTGGGTATGAGGGCCATGTGAATTAGCCTCTGCCCACTTTTGGGGCATGTGTGATGCCCTGAATTGATCCACTGGGCAATCGAATTTCGATCATAAGTGTGCCCTGATGCAACTATCACAGGGTCTCTCATCAAGTCAAGTGAGATTGGGCAACGAAATTCATCCGGGATGCTGAAAATCGTTGACTGAGAAGATGAAGAATGATCATGATTCCTCCTGAATGAAGCCGAGCGCAGTTTCAGTTTTTCATTGGTTCCCCCACTGAAAATCATAGGTTTGGATAGTGAAACAAGGGATATAAGATTGTTTATGTTGGAAACCACTATTAGTCCACCTGTGCCTGCCTGCTTGTCAGCTTCTTTCTCGAGTTTCGATATTTCTTCATCATAATCAACAGGGTTTCCCAATCCAATGAAGCTTAGGATCTCCCTCACTTTCCCAAAATCAATCAACCCCTTTTTCTTGCTGTTCCTCTCATTGTTTGCAGCCATTACTCCGAGAAGCTCTTCTCTTCTTTGAACCTCCTTTGGATCAACAAACAATTCAACCTTTTTGGCTTGCTTGTGAAGAAGCTCAACTTGCTCTCTAGTGTCCGCCGTGACATCAAGCAAGCTGAGAGGCAAAATATCAAGTGCCCTTCCCATCTCCTTCGCAATCACGTGAAACTGATTCGAAACAAACTCCGTCTGCATGAGGTTCCACAAAGAACTGCCTTCCTTGCACACTTGTGTCAAGAACTTCACCCTCCGAATCACGGAGAAGAGCTCTGTGAGGCAGAGGATTGATGATGGAGGAAGTGGGCTGTTAGTTTCTTGAATTTCATCAAACAATGAAGAAAGAAGTTTGATCCTTCTTATCATTGTGGATACATTCTTGACCTGCACAAATGGAAGCTTTTCAATGGAGGTAACATCATTGGAGATGTAGATCAAGGACTCTAGCAATGAACCAGTTGGAAGAAAGCCTGCAGAGACCATGAGAGGAGGTAGAGCTAAATCCATGGTTTCTGATTATGTTTTTTCTGTTCATTGTTGTTTTTGTGATTTTAGGTTTGTTAGGGTTTAGATTGCTTGGGAAGACGTTCAACGTTTTGTGATAAATTAAAATAATGTGATGGACTGTTGACTGTTTCTGTTTGTACTGTTTATAATAGGCGACAACAATAAGATGGCTAAGTAGGAGGGAAAGGCTTACTGGGGTGCTGCCACTTGGAGGACATACCGGCCTTATAGGGTTAGCTATATTCCCCGCCAGTTTTATATTCAATTCAAAGACACACACACACACACATATATATATATATATGTTTGGTTATGGATTGTCTTATATCATCTGGTCAGACCTTAAACATGAATTGTTTTAAGCACTGCAATTGGACAATTGCACAACTATAGTAAGGATCAACTTTTCGAAATTTCAACCGAAGGGCGAGTTAAACAGATTTCTTAGAGGTTGCGGACATAGTCTAAGTTTTGGAAAACATCTTATACGAGTCATGTGAATTAGTCAAGGTAAAAGTCCGGACACCCCGATTATAAAAAAAAAATAAAAAAATAGACTAACATTAGACAATTGCACTATAATAAGGATCAACTTTTCGAAATTTCAACTGAATGGAGAGTCAAACAGATTTCTTAGGTGTCGTGGACATAGTCTAAGTTTTAGAAGACACTTTGTATGAGTCATGTGAATTAGTTGAGGCAAAAGTCCGAACACCCCATTTATAAAAAAAATTAAAAATAGACTCCTCTTCCGTTGGATGGTGAAAGTGGAACCCACATGCCCTATCTAATGTTTGGCTCTACATTCGGTTGAAAATTTCGTTTTTTATATCGCCTCTCCTTGCATTATATACAAACAGTGCAGGATAAAAAGGTGGGTCATATAAAAATGGTTTGATTTTGATCCATGGGAGTTGAGAACTTTGTCTTGAGCTTGGGCAAGTAGCGTATGGAAGGAAGCAATAACCTGCCCAACTAATTAATTAAATGGGACTAAATTCACCTGTATCATGCTAATTTTTCTCTATGTTGTCTTTTAAAAGTGACTTTTTGACTTGGCAATCTGTTGTTGGAATAGAAAGCTTATTGTGGAGTGAATGACTGCTCTCATTCGAAATTCCTACTTTTTGAGACACCTTGCACTACATTATTAAATATGATGTTCTTGTTCAAACCTATTATGGAAAGGAATTATGCTCTTATTTTCAGATTTTAATTTCTAACTCTCGTTTGACTCTACTCTCTTAAGAAATAGTCTAATGACACGACTCTCATTTCATGACGGTTGAAAGTTTCAACTCTTGAAACTACCTTCAGAATTTTTTCAATAATTTTCTTGTGCATGCGAGATGGAGGTACTACATATACTTGGTGGTACAGCTTTAAAATGCTAACACCACCATTGTAAAAAGGGGTAGCTCCACCTCTAGGAATTTTTTTGATGAATTTTTGGTACATATGAAATGGAGGGACTACATATATAGGTGCACTCTAAGATGCTCATACACCACCGTCATCAAATAAAAAAAAAGGAGCAACTCAGTGTATGTGATGTCATTGCGTGTATTTTTTTGATTTTAACTTGTGCCGTCCAGATCAGAATAAAGTAATCTTACCATTGCAACAAAACCCACCCTCATCCTCTACCAAAAATAAATAATAAAAAATTGTCAAGCTTGAAAAGACTTGTTCAAATTAATTTTCGAACTAGACTAATTCAAATTTGAGAAGAAGTTGAGTTTGTAGACGCCCCCTAGTATCACCCAACATTTCTTGATGTGTTTAACAACACTTGTAAATAACTGATTGTAAATCCATGAGTTTCAAGTTTCAATCTATGAATGTATAGCTGCATTTGGATCAAGCATATCTTAAACATCAGCAACACTATATTGATCTTATGAGGATATTTGTCCGTCTATAAATCAGATTGTATAAATTCTCAATCGGGAAGAAAAAAAAACAACACAAACACTACGTATAAATTCTCAATCGGGATGCTATTATTTTGCAGTTCACGTTTTATTAAGATTGATCACCATTAGAAATGCTTGTTTTAATGAAGAAAAAAAAAAACACAAGCACTCCGTATAAATTCTCAATCAAGAGGCTATTATTTTGCAATATGAAAAATAAAACAACACAAACACTCCGTATAAATTCTCAATCCGGGAAAAAAAAAAACAACACAAACACTACATATAAATTCTCAATCGGAATGCTATTATTTTGCAGTACACGTTTTATTAGGATTGATCACCATTAGAAATGCTTGTTTTTATTAGTGTTGTCATGAGAAAGAGAATGAGATGTGCGTAAAAGTCTACAATACCCTGAAATACCGTATCTCTCTAAGGTTCTCGGCCTGTTGAATTTGGTGATGGGACTCACCTGATAAATGATCTAACGGCTGAGAGGCTCCGGGTACATCATTCCCGATATTGTAGGATGTCGCAACATATGCAAAGCATCAAGCTTGATACTGCTTAGTAGCACTAAACTTTATCATTAATTCTGTAATGCTTAATTAAAATAAAGCCCATTCGACTTGGGTGTGACCAGAGTTTGGAATTTTGTTTCTGGATTATCTCCGCCTAATAGGTCATTCTTTATACATCCAAGTATGTAACATTTATTTATCATTTTTCTAGTTGCGTTACTAATTTAATTAGATACAAATCTCATATAGATGATAAGACAAATATGCCTGGACTTGAAATTCCCAAAAAAAAAAAAATGTTTGGACTTTGGTGAGGAAAAATTAATAAACAATAAATCTAAATCTAATGCTGACAACATGTTATTTAGTTACTTCAATTCCAGAATTACAGCTACTAGGAGTTCAATAGAAATTGAATATAAAGAGGTAAACATTTTGAGAGATCTTTACGTAAATGGAAAACCATTTGGGCCAAATCCTAAAAGCTAAAAAAACCCATTTGGGCCCCCACACGAAGAGATTCAAAGTCTGGGCCAGGCCCATATCATAAGGGAAAGGGGAAAGGGAAAAGGGAAAAGGCCAAAGGGCAAAGGGAGTAAAAAAAAAAAAAAATTGGCCCATGCAGGTTTCGAACCTGCGACCTTCGCGTTATTAGCACGACGCTCTAACCAACTGAGCTAATGGGCCGTATGCTTATGAGATAAATATAATTATATTGAAGACGACTAATGGAAAATAAAAGGAAGTCACGTTTTAGCTTGCAACTCGCTAAGAAAAGATGCCTAATTGGTACAATTTGCACCAAGATAGAAAAGGCTAGCCCAAGTGCACGAGAGCGGCCTTAATACACGATTACTACAAACCCAAAGAACAACGCCATTAGTCTGGTGCCTAAGAGCAACACCAAGGTTCATGGTTGCACAACATGGTTTCTTTCACTGACCTCCTCTGCTAGACAATAGCTGGTCCATAACCAATCTCAACCAGAATTCCATGGAAATGAATAAAAATGGTCCTTTACCCCAAATTCCAAATTCAAGAACAATACTCTCTTCAGTCTACAAATAATTTGAAGAAGAACAAGGCTTTCATTCTGTTTTTTCTAACCAGGATTTTGCTCGGAGATGGATTTCACAACTGGAAATTTTCAGTGAAATTTTAAAAGAACAACTTCGATGGTATACAGTGTAACGGCTCAAAAAAATTCAACATTGATTCAAATCTGATCCTGGCCTAAAGCCATGGTGATAATCAGGGGATGAAATTCATGGCACCACGGGAGAACCAAAACTTTATCAGACACTATCCATATCACTTTCAGTAGGGTACAATATATCTCAGATTTCACACTTCCTACACCGCTAAAGCAATTATGTCCTTTGACAAAATCCCCATAATTCAATGGAAGTAATTTACAGCCATTAATCATATGGATGGTACTGATTACCCACTTAATAAAAGAGGGGAAGAAGATAGAAGCAAATTAATCAGCAGTTCAACAAGCATTACCGGTATTTTATGAGAAACAAGATTCACATGTTTGTGATGGAATATGAAAAACAATAAAATCGAAGAGCGGGAAAGGGAGATACACTGATTTAATAATACACTTAGATAAATTTTTGAAGTACAAGAAATCTGTAGCAAAATAAGTAATAATAATATACAACAAACATGACAGCCATGGATATAATACAGCCATATCCTCTTTTAAATATTAGATGCTTCAAACTTGAATCTATAGATAGCGTATCATGCCAGGGAGGATGAATATACTCATTCGGAGTGAGGTCTTGTGACGGTTCCCAGAAATTTCTAGTTGTCCGTCCCTTCTCAAGGAGAGCATTCATGCCAAGCTATAACTTCTTCCCTGTTAGTAGTATGTCAAATTCAGTAAAAGCTTACGAAATTAAATGGAAACTGGAAAGCAATAAAAAGCTAAGCACCAACATGAACATCATGACATCATAAACATGGTTCCAAATTGCAATGTCAGATGTTCAAAACAACGCAACGCAAAAGAAAACACAATCGAAAATAAAAAGCAAGCATATCTTTGAGCCACCATTTTGACTTCCATGTGTATAATATGTGTGTTTGTGTGTGTGTGTGTGTGAGAGAGAGAGAGAGAGAGAGAGAGAGAGAGCATGCAAAATCAAGTAAATTCGTAAA